TCCTCCTCCTTTTCCTCCTCCTCCTCCTCCTCCTCCTCCTCCTCCTCCTCCTCCTCCTCGCGGGACCCCGAGACCGCCCAGAGACAAAACTTGGGAGGAGAGGCGGGCCCCAGGCGAGAGGCGCCGACCTCCTGCCGGGGGGGTCCACGCCGAGTGCACAAACGCACGACGCGGGGAGGTCTGGGATGCGCGCCGCGGCGGCCGGCGCCCTGGGCGAGCTGGCCGGCAACGGCGGCGAGCAGGACGCCCGAAATGGGTACTGAAAGAATGGGTACTATGCCCAACAGCGGATCTTGTTCATTTTGAACAGGATCCGCTGTCCACGCCGCCGCGGCCTGTGTCCATTCGAGACAGAAGGCCGCCTGCCAAACAGCGGCCGCTGTTGGTTCGGGACAACATTTGTTGTTGGGCATGTTGCCCATTCTTTCGGTACCCATTTCGGGTGTCCAAACAGGAGGGGGCCGCGAAGAGCAGACGGCTTCTGGAGTTCTCTCTTCCCCCCCTTCGCGTCGTGAAGAAAACTTGCGGCGGGAGGTCTTTCTTCCCCAATTGCGGCCTCCGGGGGCCTTTCCTGGGCCTCGGGACTGCCAAATGAACGGCTCAGGAGGAGGAGAAGCCGGTCCCGGGGAAGGGGTCCAGATCTCTTCAGCCACGCGCAGGGGGGGGTGGGGGGAGGGGGGAGGGCTTCTTGGAAGCACCCCTGCCTCTAAGAAGCCCTCCCCCGTCCCCCTACCCCCTTTGTGTGCGCCGCCAATATCTGGGGGTCGACGTCGTGAACAACAATCACGACGTCGGGGGTTTGGGCCCGGGGGCCGTTCCCGGGCCCCGGGGCCGTCGGTCCAGAGAAGCTGCTCGGGATGGAGAGCTGGCCCCCGGGGAAGGCTCCCGCCAGGAGGGACAAAAAACGCACAGACGGACGCAAGCTGATGCGGCGGTCCTCCGGAAAATAGGGGGGCAAGAGGAGAGGTGGACGGGAAGGCGGGGGAACATCCAGAAAATATCTGGGCCTCTGGGGGGCCCCAGGATCTGCTTTCATGTCTTTGAGAGCGTGAATTGCCTACCCCGCTTTCGCTTCCAGGCAAAACCAAGCCATACCACGCGCTTCCTCGTCAAGCGGCCTGACCAGTACAGGCCGTAGTTTGGCATCGCTATCTCTTGGAAGCGAGGGTGGTCAAAAGCGAGGTAGGTTGTTTGCCCCCTAATTCTTTGTGTGTCCTTGGGCCCGGGGTTCCCTTGGTGGGCCGATTCCCCCCGCCCCCCGCCGGCACTGAAGGCCAGGGGTCGCGGACCCACTTCACGTAATGGAGGATGACGATTAATAAATGACCGGGGGTCGTGTTCACGCGGCGGCGCCCGGGATGACGATTAGAAAAAGCCGGCCGCGGGCTGGAAAACTATTTTTTTATCGTTGTCCTCCAGTCAGAAAATTGTGCAGACATAGCAGAAAACTATGTTTTGTAATCGTTCCCTCCCATTTTTTTATCAATCGTCATCCCGCATTAAGTGCTCTGCTGGGCGTGGCGGGCGCTCCAGGTCTGTAGCGGCGCTGGTGGAATCTGCTTCGGAGGAGGGGAAGGCACCCACTTCCGCTACCCTTCCCTCGTTCCCCCCATCTCGGGCCTCCTCCGGAAACCCTCGGCGCCACAGCAGCTGCCCTCGCCTCGAGGTTTTCCTCCAAGGAGAGGCCCCTAATTATAGAGAGCAGCGGCCTCTGGTTCCCTGGTGCTGCCAGGACCCCATTATGAGGCCAGGAGGGGCCCCTATTATGAGGCCCCTGGTTCCCCAGTGCTGCCAGGACGTTTGGCCTGGCGTGCCGCACTGCCGGCTTTGGCCCACCACGCTCTGGAGCGACGCGCTGTCCAGGAGGGAGGAGGAGTAGGAGGAGGAGGAGGAGGAGGAAGAGGAGGAGGAGGAGACGGAGGAGGAGGAGGAGGAGGAGGAGGAGGAAACGGAGGAGGAGGAGGAGGAGGAGGAGGAGGAGGAAACGGAGGAGGAGGAGGAGGAGGAGGAGGAGGAGGAGGAAACGGAGGAGGCCTTGCCTGGCCTCCCGCCCCGCGGAGCGGAGCGACGAGCCGTGCCCGCTCGCATGAGGCAGAGCGCGCCGCCGATCCGGAAACGATATACTACAAGATGAGTATCTTGGCATCGCTCGGACGTGTGCATTTTTCCTTCGGCGAGGACCATCGAGGAGCATCCTTGATCATTTGGCGAAGAAACCACGCACGAAACCGAAAAAAACACAGGGAATGGACGTCCGAGCGATGGCCAGGTATACTACATGTTCGGGTCGGACGCGCGTCTCCAAGGAGGACATATAGTATTAGTACGGCCGTGTGCGTCCCATACCTCCATCCCCACTGGGCCAGGGCACCTCGGCCCCCCCAACCCGCCCCTTCAGGTGGGGATGGCCCCACGAGGCCCAGAGGAGCAAGCGTATGTGATCCAGGGCTCTGTGCCCCTCCCGCCGCCCTCCTGCTGATGCCGTCGGCCCCCCCTCCCCGCGGTGGGTGCGCCCCTCCCCCCCCCTGTGGTCGTGGCCCTGAGGGCGTGGCGTGGGGGGGTGCCGGTACCCCCCCTGTGTTGGTGCGGGGTGGTGCTGCGGTGCCTTCGTCGTCGTTGTCGTCGTCGTCGTCGTCGTCGTCGTCGTCGTCGTCGTCGTCATCGTGGTCGTCGTCGTCGTCGTCGTGGTTGTCGTCCCTGTCGTCGTCGTCGTCGTCGTCGTCGTCGTCGTCGTCGTCGTCGTCGTCGTCTTCCTCCGCCCCCCCGTCCCATCTCCAGGGGGTTGGAGGCGAGGAACCCTGTGACCCATCACATCTAGGAAGGGAGGCCTGTGAACCCTCGACCAGGGATCGTGTATCCCCACCCAGGCTGGGAAGTCGGCCCGTGGGGCCAACTTCCCGTCCGTTTTTCGTGTCAATGGCTGTGTTCGGCGGCGAGTGAGGGGGGGCAGTGAGAAGGGGCGGGCCTTCTCAGAGGGCTCGGACGTCCCCGGCCTCCCGATGAGTCTTCTAAGCCTCCCCCGAAGTCAAACAACTTTTCAGAAGGCGCGAGGGCTTCCGAGAAGTCCCGCCGCCTTCTGAGAGGGCCTTCTCCTTCTCAGTTCCCACCCTCGCTCGCCGCCGATGTGTGTACACAGGGCCCTCGAGGGTCAGCGGATACTCTGGCTGGTCTCTCCCAAGAGGGCAGCACATCCTCCGAGGGCAGTCCAGGCCTCAAGTAGGCGTTCGTCGGCCCGAGCTCAAGGAGGGAAAGGCGAGGAGGAGGAGGAGGAGGAGGAGGAGGAGGAGGAGGAGGAGGAGGAGGAGGAGGAGGAGGAGGAGGAGGAGGAGGAGGAGGAGGAGGAGGAGGAGGAGGAGGAGGAGGAGGAGGAGGAGGAGGAGGAGGAGGAGTAGGTCGACGTGCGTTGCTGATCCGTTGTGAGATGAAAACAAATTATCCCTTCCTGGTCGGCAGGAGTGCGTCGACATCCTCGCGGCTGGCGCCGCGGTCCCACTGCTGGAGCTGCTGTCGGCGGCCCGCGCGGAGGACCGCCGGGTGGCCGCGGAGGCGCTGGGCCACCTGGCGGAGGGCGGCGAGGCGGACCGGCCACGAGGGGGGAGAGCCGTGGTCCTGATCTCAAACGACGCGAAGATCGGGACAACATCAGATCGGGATAACTCGAAATCTCTGAGAATCGGCGGGTTCGGAGGATGTATGGGGCGCCGCGGCCGCTCCAGAGCGTTCCGGAACGTTCTGAGAGCGCTCCGGAACGCTCTGGAGCGATTTATCCCGATCCTAGCCCTGTTTTATTATCCCCCCCAGGAGGAACCCATCGAATTGACGATCTCCTTTCGGGGCAGCGTCAGGGGGGGGGGACAGGCTCACGGGAGGACGGCGGAGGGCGGCGGGGCGGACTGGCCACAATTGGGGAGCCGTGGTCCTTAAACGGTCGGGAACTGTTGGTCAGCGTGTTCGTCCACCGGTTCCTGCCCACCACTCTTCGGCGCGACACGCTATCCACGTCCCGATCCCCAAGCGTCAACGTGCCGCGCCTTCCTTGGCCTCCCCCCCCGCGGAGCGGATTGACACGCTGTCCGCTCGCACGCCGCAGCGTGTCGTCGGGGCCCGCCGCCGCGACGTGCTGAGCAAAAGCTCCTGAGCGTGTGTCGTTCGCTCTTCCTCTAGACAGCTCGTCCAGCAGCACAGCCAGTGGCCAGGCACCGCTCGCGTCAGACCATTCTGCTGCGTGGCCGCTCTGCTCTGCCGGGCCACCGTGCCCTCCGGGGTGGTGACACCAGGAATCTGAGCCCACTGACGGAGTTCGGGCGCCCCAAGCCCAGACCCCCGACGTCATGATTTTTTCACGACGTCGACCCCCAGAGGTCTCCACCCATTCTCCAGGACCAGCTTTCCATCCCGAGTCGTTTTTGGACGGCCCCGAGGCCCAGCGAAGGCCCCAGAGGCCCAAACCGGCGACAAACCTCCCGCCGCACTTTTCTCACAGCCGCGAGGAGATCTGGGAAGCTATGCTAATTCGAGCCCTCTGGATACAGGCCTCCTAGCTGGGGTCGGAGTAGATTGAGTCGGAGGATCGCGCTGCATCGCCGATGTATCGGTGATGCGGCTCGCTGCGGAGCCCGAGTTTCTCCACTCCGGCGTCGCCAATGCGTCGCCGACGTCGGCGATGCATCGCCGATGCATCGCCGATACCTCGGCGATGCATTGGCGATGCGGCGCGACCCTTCGACCCCAGTCTTGTCGGACCCCATCTGGGAGGCCTCTGCTGGACATCTCGTGGTGCATCACAGGGGGCACGGCTCGGCCAGCCGTGGCTGGTCCGCGAGGGGCCCCGGGAGGCCCTGCTGGCCGCCGGCGCCGCAGAGCGCCTGGCGGCGCTGGCGGCGGCGGGCGCGCCCCGCGGCGCCGCGGCCGCGGCGGCCGCGGCGCTGCAGGCCCTGGCGGCGGGCTAGCGGCCCGCTCGGGTGATGGGCCTGTTTTTCCACCACCACACCACCACAAGTTGGAGGGGGGAGGGAGGAGGAGGGGAGGAGGGAGGAGGAGGAGGAGGATGAGGGTCGAGGGAGGAGGAAGAGCGAGGAGGAGGAGGAGGAGGAGGAGGAGGACCCCCTCCCCCTCCAACTTCTGATGGTGGTGGTGGCGGAACACAGGCCCATCATCGGGGGCCCCCCGACGGTGTGGTAACCGCACCGCGTGGTTTTGTCCATGGGGAGTCCTGCAGCGCGTTGGTCTACGCGGTCGCGCTGGAGGCTTCGGGCTTCGAGGTCTTCGGGACGTCTCCGTTGGTTCCCGAAGGTGTTTTTCCAGCCTCGGGGATGCTTTCCAGCAGCTGCGCCTCGTGGAGGGCGTTCCAGGGGTGCTCAGAACGACCCGATCCCAGAGAACCGAGTTGTGACGGGGCCACCGCAAGGTCTCGGGACTGGGCTCGTTCTCCGAGGACGTCTCGGGCGGCTGGGGCCGCCGAGGTCCCGAAGCCGTGCGGTGGCGGACCGCGCGGGGAGGTCTCTTGGCATGTCGAGGCCACCGCGCGGTCTGTCACCGTGCGGTTTTGGGACCCGTGGGCCGTGCACGGACCGGGCACGGGCAGGGCTCGGCCTGCTGGCGTGGCGCGCCCGCGCGCCCGCGGGAGCTGGAGCTCTGCGGAGGAACGGGTGCCGGTGCGGCTTCGTTTCCCTCGTGTGGGCTCTCTGGGGCCTCCTGAGGAGGCCCTCGTCGCTGCTACTGCAGTCGCCTCGACATCCTGGTGAGAAGGCACCCTCTCGGAGAGGTCCGGGGAGTAGCGGTATCGGTAACTTGGTGGTTTCCCCATGATCATCCTGGAGCTCAGGAGCTGCCCCACGCCGTTACCGGAAACATTTTTTCACCCAATGGCGAGAACGGTCGTGACCAGGCGGGGGGGAGGGGGGGAGAGGGGGAGGGGGCCGGGATTTTCACTACAGTCAACCCGCATGGTAAGGAAGGGCAACCTTCCCAAGGGTACCCTTGCATCCTCGCCTACTCGGTCCATCCTTGACCACTTTCGTTGGCTGCGCCCCGCTCGAGAAGCTTCAAAATGAGCGTCCAATGCCCTCGCATCCTCATCGCGCATCCCTCTGATACGGGCCGACGGTAGTTCCCGGGAGCGATTTATGGTGGTGACGATGACGACGATCGGGACGGTGAGGATGATGCTGACGACGACGACGATGAGGATGGTGGTGGCGATGACGACGATCGGGACGGTGAGGATGGTGCTGACGACGACGATGATGGTGGTGGTGGCGATGACGACGATCGGGACGGTGAGGATGGTGGTGACGACGACGACGACGACGACGACGACGATGATGGTGGTGGTGATGACGAGGAGGGTGGTTCCCGTTCCGGTGCCGTGCGCCTGGGCAGGTCCGCCCTGGGCAGCGGTGGCGGCGTTCGAGGAGAGGCGTGTTTCCGCGGCGTGCGCCTGCCACGCGCCGGGGGCGCTGGCGGCGGGGCGGGGTGCCTCGGGGCCGTGCCCTTTGGTGCTGCCACGGGGCCGAGGCGGTGGGTGCCCCGTGCCCGAGCGCCGGCAAGCGGGGCGAAAGCAAACGGGGCGAAAGCAAACGGGGCGAAAGCAAGCGGGGCGAAAGCAAACGTTGGGCGCCGCTGGGGAGGTCATAAATGGGGGGGTGGCGAGCGTGGTCCGAAAGGTACCCAAACGGTACCTAAACGAGCCCCCTGGGGCTCTGGAGGGGCCCGAAAGGGGCACGAAAAGGGACCTTTTCTGACCCCCCCATTTGTGACCCCCCATTACGCCACGCCCAAAAACGGGGCGGAAGCAAACGGGGCGGAGCGAGGTGCCTCCCCAGGCAGTGCCCTGTGGTGCTGCCCCGGGGCCGAGGCGGTGGGCGCCCCGTGCCCGAGCGCCGGCAAGCGGGGCGAAAGCAAGCGGGGCGGAAGCTTCGGGGCCTCTTCGAGCGAGCACGGGGCGACAGGGCATCCACCTCGCACCAGTGCGCGATACATCGGGACGGCCAGAACGTCGACACATCATCATAACTCTGAGCGGGGCGGCTTACCTCGCACTCACGCGCGGCAAAGCAATGTTTGAAAGTACCATTGAAAACGTACCCTCGGTTACCGGCCCGTTTACTAACGCCCCGTTTGCAGGAGGTTGGTGTCCTCTCCTCGCATTCTCTTGTTCCTCGCCACCACCATCGTCTACAACGCGCTGGTCGCGGTTGGGACGGGGCACGCCTGTGCCATAGCTTGACGGCTTGGTCGCGGCGGGAAAGCAATCATCATTGCTCTCATTCATGTTGTCATTATTGCTACCATGCGGGGATACACGCACACACAACGCCGGCGTCCGTCCTGTGCGGCCTCGCTTCTTCCCCATCTTTCTCTCCTCTTTCATTCCCTTTTCTTCTTCTCCCACACATGTGCGCTGGCAAAACTGGTCAGTGCTACTTGCCTGGTACTGCAGTTTCTCACCGCGCTGCCCCAGGAAGATTGCGCAGTTCGGGAGGTGGTCGAAATGGAACGCAGCGACGCGCCCATGCGGCGGTAGCCGAATCTGACGCCGCGCCAGGACGAGCGCGCGGCCCGCGCCACCCCCTTTCCCCAGCGATGCAAATCTGAGCAACGAAGCGACGCGACAATGTAACCGATGAGGTCCATTGCCGTCGTCTCCCGTCGGTCTCGTCAGCTTTGCATCAGGGGGGGGCGCCAGCGCTGCGCTCGTCCTTGCGGCCCCCAAGATTCGGTCTAAACTATAGCACCGCCCGTGTATCATCATCGTTGCTATCTTTCGCATCCTTGCCGGCATCGTCAACGGATGACCGGCAGGACGACGGCGACCAACGCTTGCGAGGTGCAATGCAAGTGTGCAGCTGCATTGCGCACTTCCCAGTGCGGGCGAATCCAGGCTGGGAGAGGGGGGAGAGGGGGCGGGGAGGTGGCGGGCAGAGGGAGCGGGAGCGGGGAGGGGATGGCAAGAAGAGGAGCTTGGATAGATGAGGGCATGTTACGTTATCCTCCTCCTCGTCTCCTCCTCCTCCTCCTCCTCCTCCTCCTCCTCCTCCTCCTCCTCTTCCTCATAGGTTGCCGTCGCCGCCGCCGCTGCAGCCGCCTGGGCTGTCGCTGGGACTGTCTCCATTTCCGCATTCGCCATCCCTCCTCCTCTTCCTCAGCCTTCTCGCCATCATCACCATCATCATCATCAGCATCATCATCTTCACCATCATCATCATCATCATCATCATCATCATCATCATCATCGTCGTCGTCGTCGTCATCATCATCATCATCATCATCATCATCATCATCATCGTCATCAGCATCATCATCATCTTCGTCTTTTTTCCTTTTCTTATCATTATTATTCATCTTCTTCTTCATTGTGCCACTCCTCGTGCTCCACACGCCCTGACGGTCCACATATCGACTCCTCACCCTCCTCCTGCTCCTCTCCTCCAGCCTCTTCCTCCCCACGTGACCATTCGTCCCCGTTCAACCTCCCCTCTTGGTGTTTTTTGGGGGACGTTGTGCGGCCATGAGTCGGAGATCGTTGCGTTCTCCTGGTCCTCCTCCTCCTCCTTTTTCTCATCGTCGTCCTCTTCCTCCTCCTCATCCTCCTCCTCTTCCTCCGCTTCTCCTCATCGACATTTCCCCCTAGATGCATGTCACTCCCCCCCCTCTACCTTCTGGACCTCCTCGTCCCCTTGCTTCTGCACCTGTTCCCCCCTGGCGTAAGCACTCCTCACCCTCCTTACCCTCCTTCAAACTTCCTCTTCCGCAGGAGTAGCTACTACTGATCGAACGAGAAGAAGGGGGAAGGGGGAATGGGTGCGAGGGGGACGCAGGAGGAGAAGGAGGAAAACAAAAAGGGACAGGCGGAGGATGAGGAGAAGGAGGAGGAGGAGGAGGAGGAGGAGGAGGAGGAGGAGGAGGAGGAGGAGGGGAAGGGGGAGGAGGAGGAGGAGAGGGAGGAGGAGGGAGGGGGAGGGGAGGAGGGAGGAAGGAGGGAGGGAGGAAGGGAGGAGGGAGGAGGGAGGAGGGAGGGGGTGGATGAGGAGGAGGAGGAGGAGGAGGAGGAGGAGGAGGAGGGGAGGAGGAGGAGGAGGAGGATCCATGCCGCGGTGGGCGCGGCCGCGGCCGCGGCGTCCGCGGGCGAGCTTGGTAGAGGGCTGTTACCCGACGCGCGTGGCGCAGTGGTTGCCAGCGGCAGCAGGAGGAGGATGAAACAGGCAGCGTCGAGGATTCGACCCCATTGCCTACAGCCTGAGGCCGAGGAGGAGGAGGAGGCTGAGAACAGTAAGGAGGAGAAGGAGGAGGAGGAGGAGGAGGAGGAGGAGGAGGAGGAGGAAAAGGAGGAGGAGGAGGAGGAAGAGGTGGCGGAGGAGGAGGAGGAGGAGGAAGAGGTGGAGGAGGAGGAGGAGGAGGTGGAGAAGGAGGGGGAAGAGGAGAAGGAGCAGGATGATGATGATGATGATGCTGATGATGATGATGATGATGATGATGATGATGATGATGCTGATGATGATGATGATGATGATGGTGATGATGCTGATGATGATGATGATGATGATGATGATGCTGGTGATGCTGGTGATGCTGGTGATGCTGATGATGATGATGATGAGGAGGAGGAGGAGGAGGAGGAGGAGAAGGTGGAGGAGAACCATATTGAACCCAAGATGCACCAACCGATGCTGAAATACACCCTCCCGTCCCAAATCCCCTCCTCATAACTCCACACAACTATGTATTCCTTTACACTGCAGGCGCCACCCCCCTTGAATGACGATCGGCGTGTCGGGCCGCCAGTCAGACGAGAGGGCCTGTTGTAAAGGATCCTCCCTCCACTCAAGACATAGTGGACGCCCAGGATAGCCCCATTTTGAGAAGCGCATGCCCTCTCTCCCTCTGAGCGTTGCAGAATGTCAAAGTCGTGGGCGTCTGCTCCGCGGAAATCCCACGCGAGACCCCTTCAAGGAGGCTCAGGGATGTATATATATATATATATATATATACATATATATATATATATATCTGTACACTAATATATGTATATATACACACTAATTCATATAAAAGCGTATATATATGTATGTATTGAAACATGCCTTCGATGCGAGTAAGCGTTGCAGGATGTCAACTTCGTGATTGTAGGCCTCGCGGTGTCGCACGCGAGAGCCCTGTTTCGAAAGAGGAACCGCCCTCCTTCCGTGTTAGTTTCGCACGATATGGGACGCCTGGTCGTAGAGGTCGAGGGAAGGTCAGGTGAGTGTAGATGGTGGACTTGTATTCGGATGTGCGCGAGGCCAAGAGAAGACCCTACTACGGCGGGGGGCCGCAGACCATGGATGATTGTTCATCTGATGGGGGCGGCGGATATATCCGTGGCCGATCGTCGATTGGAGTTCCACTGGCTTCCAGACCCTGGATGCCTTATCTAGGGGTTCCTTGTCCACTGCCCCCACCGTGTTGGGAATGACTCGCCGTCCACTCGCGCAGCTAACAAACATTTGGATGCCGAGTATGCTCGGCGCTATGGCGAGAGCATTTTTGAAAACGGTCAGACCCGATCTTTGGTTGTATGAAACGTTGGTGTGCGGCGCCAGCAAGGCGAGAACCCTATAGTGAACACCTTTTGTGGTCCAGGATCCATCGGTTCCTCGAGGCCTCCTGCGGCGACGAGGACGATGAAGATGATGATTCGGATGGTGTTGCTGCTGGTGGCATCTGGTGGCGACGGCGAGCCTGGAAACGATTTGGGAGGGATTGGGAGAGTCTGGGAGAGACTGGGACAGTCTAGGGAGCGCTTGGTCGAGGGGCGCCCGAAATGTATCGACTTCTTGGGTATCTGTTATCGACTCATTGTTCCTTGCCTTTTGTGCCCAGGGGCTCTTCGAGACTAGGGGGTGGGCCGACGTTGAAGATCATCATGTGCGCCTCGAATGCATTCTTGGCGTAGAAGGGCAAGGGCTGGGTCCCATAGGTGTGCGCCGAATAGTCAGAGTTAGGGGGCCGAGCGGTCATTCATCTCCTTGGGCGGGTGGCTCAAGTGAGGTTCCGCCGTGCGAGAAAGCGCGTTCTGTGGGCGCTGGGGGGGAGGTCCGGAACCGGCACCCCCTTTTCCCGGGCCTGCGCCGGCGCTGGCGTGGGCCTGGGATCCCACGCCCACTCGAGTGGGCGTGGGCTTGGGCCTGGGCGAGGCGCGGGAGTGGGCGTGGGCGTGGGCTTGGGCGTGGGCGTGGGCGCGGGAGTCGGCGTGGGCGTGGGCGCGGGTGTGGGTGTGAGCGTGGGTGTGGGCGTGGGTGTGGGCGCGAGTGTGACTGTAGGCGTGGGCGTGGGCGTAGGCGTGGGCGTGGGCGCGGGCGTGGGTGTGGGCGTGGGCGCGGGTGTGGGTGTGGGCGTGCCTGTGAGCGTGGGCGTGGGCGTGGGCGCGGGCGTTTGCGTGGGCGTGGGCGTGGGCGTGGGCGCGGGTGTGGGCGTGGGCGTGGGCGTGGGTGTGGGCGCGAGTGTGACTGTAGGCGTGGGCGTGGGCGTAGGCGTGGGCGTGGGCGCGGGCGTTGGCGTGGGCGTGGGCGCGGGTGTGGGTGTGGGCGTGCGGCGTTGTGAGCGTGGGCGTGGGCGTGGGCGCGGGGCCTTGCTGTGGGCGTGGGGGTGTGGCGTGGGGTCGTGGCGCGTGGGCGTGGGCGTGGGCGCGGGTGTGGGCGTGGGCGTGCGTGTGAGCGTTGGCGTGGGTGTGGGCGTGGGCGCAGGCGTGGGCGTGGGCCTGGGCGTGGGCGCGGGCGTTGGCGTAGACGTGAGCGTGAGCGTGTGAGCGTTGGCGTGGGCGTGGGCGCGGGTGTGGGCGTGGGCATGGGCGTGGGCCTGGCCGTGTGCGTGGGTGCGAGCGTGGGCGTGGGCGTGGGCGTGGGCGTGTGCGTGGGTGTGGGCGTGGGTGTGGGCGTGGGCGGGGCGCGTACAAGCCGTGGGCGTTTTTGGGCGTGGCGTGGGCGTGGGCGGGTGGGGCGTGGGCGTGCGCGTGAGCGTTGGCGCGGGCGTGGCATGGGGCCGCGTGGGTGTGGGCGCGGGTGGGGTGTGGGCGTGGGGTGGGCGTGGGATGGGCGAGGGTGTGGGCGTGGGCGTGCGCGAAAGCGTGGGTTGATGTGGGCGTGGGCATGGGCGTGGGCCTGGGCGTGTGCGTGCGAGCGTGGGCGTGGGCGTGGGCGTGTGCGTGGGTGTGGGCGTGGGTGTGGGCGTGGGCGTGGACGCGGGTGTTGGCGTGGGCGTGCGTGTGAGCGTGGACGTGGGCGTGGGCGTGGGCGCCGAGCTCACCGAGCTAACCAAATCTTGAAGGCCTGGGGCTTCCGCTCGATCCGATCGCTCAAGCAAGGCATAGACCCGTCGCCCAGGAGCCTGATCGGACGCGGGTGGAGGGGCTCTTCGAGGTGGCGGCGGAGACTCGCGATCCTGCCGCTTGCTGGGGCCTGGAGGAATAAGGCTCCCCAGGTCCCCCTCCAGTGCAGTTTAGGGGGCTTGCTCGCCTCTCGCCC